CAAGCAACCCCTTCTTTGTCTTTTCACAGTAATGGGCTCATACAGTACTTGTCCTTCTGCAACTGACTTATTTCACTCAGCATAATGTCCTCCAGGCTCATCCACTTTGTGAGATGTTTCGCATGTCTCTCGTTGTTCTTTAATGTAGCATAGTATTCCATTGTGTGCATGTACCGTAATTTAGTTATCCACTCATCCATTGATGGGCATTTAGGTTGTTTCCATCTCTTTGCTATAGTGAATTGTGCTGCGATGAACATAGATGTATGTCTTTTCATGTGCTGTCTCTCAGCTCTTTAGGATATATTCCTAGTAATGGAATTTCTGGATCAAATGGTATTTCTATTAACAGTTTTTTAAGGAAACCCGATGCTGTATGCCACAATTGTTATACCATTTTACAATCCCACCAGCAGTGCACAAGAGTTCCAATCTCTCCGCAACCTCATCAGCATTTGTTATTTTCTGACCTGTTGAACTTTGCTATGATTGCTGGGGTGAGATGGTATTTCATTGTTGTTTTGATTTGCATCTCTCTAATGAGTAATGATCATGAACAGTTTCTCATGTGTTTTTTGGCCACCAGTATATCATCTTTGGAGAAGTGTCTGTTCAAGTCTTTTGCCTATTTGCGAATTGAGTTATTTGTCTTTTTGGTGTTGAGGTGGTTGAAATTTTCTGTAGATTTTGGAGATAAGTCCTTTATCAGATACATCATATGCAAATATTTTCTCCCAATCTGTAGGTTCTCTTTTTACCCTTTTGACAAAGTCTTTCAATGTACATAAGTATTTAATTATTAAAAGGTCCCAGTCATCTAGCTTTTCTTCTACCTCCTGCACATCCTGGGTTATGCTTGATAGTCTATTTATGCCATAAATTAAGGCCCTCATATTTGCCCCTATTTTATCTTTGATGAATTTTATAGTTTTGGGTTTTACATTTAAGTCTTTGATCCAGCCCAGGTTTGTTTTTGTGTATGGGGTGAGGTATGGGTCTTGTTTCATTTTTCTGCAAGTGGATATCCAGTTTTGCCAGCACCATTTGTTAAAGAGCCTATGTCTTCCCTATTTGGCAGGTTTTGGGCCTTTGTCAAAGATCAGGTGTCCATAGATGGATGGGTCTATATCTGGACTTTTGATTCAGTTCCATTGGTCTATCTGTGTCTATCGTTGTACCAGTACCATGCTGTTTTGACTACTGTGGCTGTATAGGAGTTCTTAAGATCTGGGAGTATGGACCTCCCACTTTGTTCTTCCTCTTCAGAAGTGCTCTGCTTATCCAAGGTCTCTTTCCTTTCCATATGCAGTTAGTAATTGGTTTTTCCATGTCCTTAAAAAATTTTG